AAGTATAGAATTATTCAAGAGTAGCGTAAGGCCCTGCAGAGTTTGGTTAATAGAATTTACAGCAGGCAAGTCAAAGTCCAGATTTCATGGAAAAACTTCTAAAGCAAAGTTGTTGGAAATTTAAATTAGATTTGAGTGTGACAGATCGACTACTGAGAAACGCTGTAGTGCCCCACTGTTAAATTCTACAGGAATCGCCTAGAATTAGTAGTATTGTTTTTCCTGTTGCAGTGGGGTGCTGATTTTGCGTTTTGAGTCCAAGTATATACATCTTCCAGAAATAATAATTTTACCCAAGTACATGAAAATAGGGCTGCATCAGGGACTCAAGGCTATTATGTTGAGAACATGTCCAGCAGCAGTTTGGTGTTCTGTCAAGAATATTGTAGCAGCTGAACTCTAAGGAGTCTTTAGAGAAACTCCTGCTTCAGAAAAGTATAGTTTCTAGAATCAAGGAGAAAACACTAAGATGAAAATATTGGGAGATTTATATGTGTATTTCTATTTATAAATACAAATATGTATTTCATAAAGTGAGCTGGATAAACAAATATTTCTTGTTACATGTGATGCCATGCCTGGCATGTGCTCTAGGATGTGATGTGAGATGTTAATGCTAATAAGATACAGGATGGAGCCCGGCCTGGCGTGGCTCAGAGGTTGAGCGTCGACCTAGGATCCAGGCGATCGGGGTTCGATTCCCGGTCAGGGCACATGCCCGGGTTGCGGGCTTGATCAATGACTCTCTCATCATTGATGTTTCTATCTCTCTCTCCCTCTCCTTTCCTCTCTCTGAAATCAATAAAGATATATTAAAAAAAAAAAAAGATACAGGATGGGGCAAAAGTAGATTTACAGGTGTTCATATGGAAACTAATACAATAATTAATAACAATACAGGAATAAACTCTGTGTTTCGTGTACTCGTAACTGGTAACCTACTTTTGCCCCACCTTGTGTTTGCTCACTACATTATCTCTGATGAGAATCAGAAATCTTTCACTGGTGTATCTTCATCATTTCCACCAGCTGCATTGGACATTTAGAGCTCTCATCAGCAGGCAGGATGGTTTAGTGGGTCCTGTGTGCGAGCTGAGCTGAGGCTTTGGGAGTTCTTAGATGGGTGCTGTCATACGTCAGATCCTAGCTAGGGCAGGCTTTCATTCCTTTCCAAGTCACTGGAACATATCCTTTCATATTTATGGAGAAGTGTACCTGAACTCCCTCAGAAAGAGGTATCTAGATAATTTTTAAAGACCTGTTTTTGCCTTGGGGCTGCATGAGCTACAGGGCCTATCTTGTGCATCACTATATATTTATCTCCTCTCATAATGCCTTGCACATTGTGGATACTCAGTTAACACTTGTTGAGGGAATAAATGGACTATAGATTAGGCACCTTGAGATTACGATCCTAGTTCTTACCTTTTGCTACTGTACAATTATAATAATGGGGCTGACTTTTATTAATTGGTGACTGTACAAGGCTCTCTCTCAAGAACTTCCTCTAAATTTCATTTAATCTTTCCCACAAACCATAAAGAATGCATTAATCACCATATGTTAGGCTATTGTGTGGTCACAACCCCACAGTTTCAGTGGCTTCCGTCAACAGGCTAACAGCACTATAGTCTGAGCTACAGGACTCCATGAGGTGACTCAGGGATCCAGGCTGATTTAATCTCACTGTGACTCTGCTATCTCAGCCTAAGGCTGGTTTAGAGAGAGGCTGCAGCATCATGCACAGACTTTTCATTGCCCAAACCTGGAGGTGACATGCCATATATCTGTTCACATTTCGTTGGTCCGAACTAGTCACATGGCACCATCTCACTGCGGCGGGGTGAGAAGTGCAGTGTTCTGTACGCCGGGAAGGGAAGGAAAAGCAGAAATTGGTGTATAAAGATAATGGCTATTGTAGGTCCCTTATACAGTTATCCCCTGTTACAGATGATAAAACAGGCCAGAGAGGATAGGTGACTTGTCTAAAGTTAACAGCTTATATATGGCCGAGCAAGGCCTGGAACTTAGATTTGTTTGTTTTCAAGGCCCATACGCAACCACCATGCATTACTACCCTTATTAAGGAAATTAATTTTCTCCTACTAAAGAAAACTTACCATTAATGAGGGGAGAGGATAATAAAAGTATTAGATTTGGGGCTTGGGAACCTGGTTTTATAGGATGGACTCCATCACTGACTCTCTTTTACATGTAGCTAAGCCACTTCTCTGGGCTGATTTCTTCCCATGGGAATAATGATTACTTTAACAGTAATATAAAGTAATGCATAAAACAGCACCCGGAGAGGCATAAAGTACTGTCTAAAGGTATGATGTTGTTACTGTTGACACCTGCTTTCTTTATGCATTGGTCTTGTGCAGGGTTTTCTACATGCAACAAACTTTCAAGATTCTTACGAGAAAACAAACCCTTTACATAACCTTGGTACTTCAGTTGATTTCCTTAGAAGGGAATCTATACTATATGTTACAATATAAAGCTCAATTTCATTCATCTAATCTTTCAGGCCTTTCATTAGACTGCAATGATGTTCAGTTTCAACTAAATTGATTAACTTTCACTTTCTCATCCCCCTCCCCCTCCCTTTTACTGTTCTTTTAAAAGCGAGTAAACCAAAGAACATTTCTAGCTAACGCAAATAGATATGTCACTGTAAATTCAGGAAACACTTTTAATATTTCGGCATCTGTTTATGGCGACATGGAGTGGGTCAGAGCAGGTACATGTTGCCTGTGGCCTAATTAAGAAAAACAAGCTCTCTTCTCTTGCACGTGTGGGAGGAGAGGGACACTTTTTTGCCAAAATGTGTTAAATTACTTGATGACCTAGCTTCCTGTCTCCCAAAACTCGGGGTAATGTAGTTCTCAGTATTTGTCTCCAGTTGTATCTCCCAAGTTTGGTGTTTTCTCTGCATCTCTTCTCCCCAGTACCCCTGACAGCCCAGTTATGCCAGAAGCCGTGGGCACTGGGGTACCCTGATTTTATGTCAGTCCTGCCCCATGTTGCTTCTGATGTGATTAACAGACTTTTACAACTCTTTAACTTCTTCCTGGCAGTGGTTCATAGTACAGTGAGTAATCAGATTAGGAAAGAAAAAGGTC